AGAAGTTGGGGAGGGGGAGGGTGTTCTAGTTGTTGTCTTCGTTTCTCACCATCCAGCTTTATGAAGTAAGACTTGACCACTACTTTTGAGCAGAGTAGCTACAGGAATGTTTGACTATGATTCCCTCACCCTGAGAAAGAAATATATTCTAATCTACCTCTAAAACAGAATTTATACGAACATTACAGATACATTAGAAGGATCTGAAGTCAAGTCTACAATGAGTGCTTGAGTCTCCTTCTGCCTTAAGTAAGTCCAGCACGTTTAGCTTTGCGGTTATTATGAAGAGTATGTTACAAACTGAGTGAATTTCCAATTTCATACATCCCTTCTCCATTTTAGAGATGCACGTAAACTGACATACATGATTGACTCTTCCGAATTTTCTTCCAGAAAACTTGAAGGAGGAGGAGAGAGTTTCAGGCAATGCCTTACACTATACTGAAGTATGCATGGCAATTATTTTGTAATACAGGATTGTAGTAAAGTACAACTGAGGAAAAAAACCCCAATTTTTAGAATATGTTACACTTGCAAATTTGTCTGATAGTCATGTAACTAGAATGTGCATTCAAACAAACAAACAATGATGTCCACCATGTGTTGTTTAAATATTAAATTCTTATCTCGAAGAAGTGTCTCATGTGACGTACTCAGAAGAATCTTGAATTAAGCTGTTAAGGTTCCACAAGTAAAAATTACAGTGATCTTTAAGGTAAGCTTTACCGATGTATACTTCAGCTTTAACCAGGAATAGTTATTTTCTGTGGACTTAAGTTGGGGTTATTTTCTAGAACTTCTGCTCTTTTTCAAATAATACTTTGATTCCATCTGCCAGAACAATATGCTGCTTACTCCTACTCTTCAAGATGCCTCTGTTTGTGCTCCACAAATATGAAGTCACATATAAAACAAGATGAGAAATTCTATGTAACATCATTTAAGGCCAGCAGATCAACAATTTATAAATATTGTTTTGAGCTTTTCTGTCATATGTGCATCATACAGGACCCTACTTGCCACTTGGAAAATCATTAGTCTTTTTTAATGTTGAATATGCATTATAGAAAAAGTTTCAAGCAGCCGGTTCAGATATTTAATTAACAGTTGCTTTTTGACAGATTTGTTTTTCTACCACCACTATTGCATTGCTCAACAAATGATAAAAATTAGTCCTGCAGAACACAAACTGATCTGCTTTACGTGGTTGATCCAAATCCTATTTGAGTCAGTTTTTCCATCTGTAGTTAGTTTAATTTTGCTATATAAAGGAAAGTATATGCTTGAGGGCACTGGAAAGAGTAACAAAGGAAAGGGCCCACCTGCATCTAGAAGCCCTGTAAGAGCAAGAAAAAAGCTAACTAGGCTCTCCTAGTTCAAACAACAGCTTCAGAAACCTTTGTCTCCTATTCAGATCACTTCTCAGATGTAAAATCCAAGTGCGTATTTCTGTACAAACTATGTAGGTCCTCAGTTATGTGCAGTAAATAGATAAAACATGGACAGATAGACAACTGATTTTAGTCATTTAGTCTGAAAATTTGCTATAGAGACGGGTACTGGCAATTAAAAGTAAGAGAAGAAAAATAAGGCTGAGGAATGGAAAAAAAAAATCCACCAAAAAACAACACCAATAACAAAAAAAAAAAAACCACCCTGACAGATTTAGCAACCTGAGGGTCATGTGAACGCATGACAGGGGTGTTGTAGGAAAGGTGCTGAGCATACCTACCAAGCTAGTTTTGAAGCAGCTAGGGTTGGACATGTAACAAACATTTAAGCTTGTTTGCACAGCTGAAATTGGTTTTATGGATATTTCCCAGTGTTAGCAATAAACACTTTTTACACCTATGTAGTGTTTAGCCACAAATACAGACATGGACCAAAAAAGGTCACTCTTCAATTGTAAGGTGACTGGCATATCCTCAACATGAATTATCACAGAGTTCTTTTTGAAGGCACACCAGGCAGGTAATATGCCTAGGAGCCATTAAAAGCAAAAAAAATAAAAAAAAGAGAGAGAGAAGGGTGTCTACATATAAATAAATTTTAAATCCTCACTTTAAATGCTGTTGCAGACAGAACAGACGGATGTTACTAATGGCTGAATGGGTATTAAACCCTCAATTTTTAACAAGTGTAACTAGTAAAATCATCTGAGTCACCTAAAAGCCTGTGCTTTCTGATCCTTGTATCTGACAATACGAAACACAGGAGTTTACAATTTTTAAGAAGTCTAAACATGGTTATACAATTTCTGAAGAACTTTTTAGCCCAATAGAATCTAGAACAAGTGAAATGAAGGCAGTTGAAAAGACTTTAAGACAAGAAACATGAAGAGCAGTTAAGCAGAGCTGTGCTGTTTCAAGGATACTGTAGAGAGACGCAGCTAGTAAATATCCATAGTTATTTCCACTAAAAGAAAGAGGTATCCATCATAAAAACTAAGCCTAAAGATTGCTTAAAAAACATGCCAGTGACCAGGGATAAAAATACCTGTCAATATCTTCTATTTTCTGCATATTAAACAGCAATGATGGTACTATCTTGTCCATGTGCTGAGGTTCCCATATAGTTGCTCGAAGTTCATCATTAACTGTTTTTCGAACCACTCCCTGAATGCCTCTGATTCCAGCAATTCGGATCCTAAGGAAGGAAAAAAGGAATTACTAAAAAGGAGAAACACAGCACCTCCCAGTATGGCTGTTTACCTATTAGGCAGTAGTAATTATGTAATGTGGAATTCCATTAGATTCTTAAAAGCGGTAATGTGGAAATTTGGCCAATTCATTAGGGTTGCTTCTATTGCCTTTAAATGCCTTTGTAGCTCATAAGCAAGCTGACAAAACAAACAACTGAGCAGAAGATGATCTGTAAGGATAATGCTGACACTGATCAATGAATACTCAAACTGTGTATATCACATCGAAAAGAAAGTCACATGGGTAACTCTACAAACCACCCATCAGTTGGACCTGTGCATAATCTCAACCTATTCCAGTGTTGAAGAAAAATGTTGTGAAATTATCACAGCAAAGCTGAAGCAATAGCTACCAGAGACATGTGGTCATGTCCTTAAAAGTTGCAATTAAAGCTGTGGACTGATTGTAACAAAAATTTAAAGATTTGTGCAAGATTCACAAGATGGAAAGCAAAGGATAATTCTGTCAACTTAAGCCTGATGCACAAAAGGAACCACCACTTTACCCTAAAACCGTTTGAACCAAATTAAGTGAGAACCAATCAACAACAACAATAAAACAATAAAAAGGAAAAATTAATATAATTTCTAAAAAAGACTTCATCTAACTGTTAGCTATTTTGTTTTGTTGAACAAACATAGTTTGCAGGAGAATCTGTACAATTAAATGTATGGCAAAATATTCTGTTTTGAAGCAGTAATAGCAAATCAGTCATTATAATAAATGGTAGGAATAAATTTTATTCCTAGCAATAAAATTTAGGTAGGAAAACAAGTAGAAGAAAGGGTGACACAGCGATCAAGTGAAATAAACACAAGCTTTACTAAAACATGAACTTATTTCTATTACAATCCATCCCTCATTTTAAAAATCTTAATTTCAGTATGGACAACACATAATTAGCCTTTGTTCAGTCAAATTAGCTGCATTAAAACATCTGCTAAATGAATTACAGAGCTAACTGAACTCTGTAATTCATTTTTTTGTTTAGATTTCTATTTGTAAATACTTCAATCCGTAGTGCCCTGTTTCTCAGATAGTTTTGAACAAAGCTATGTGCATTGAATATGGATCCGACACCATTCTGGACCTTTCAAGACAGTTTTAATAGGGTTACATACAAAACAGGGAAGAAGAGGGATGCACAAACAGCTAGAAAAGCACTTGCTATTGCCGTACTACAACTGTAGTGGAGTATCCAATATTAAGTTTCCAATATTAAGGATACAAGATTGACATTTAAGACACAGAGCTTCCAAAATTCCATCACTGAAACTTTTTTTTCCTTTTTTGCTTTCTAATTACTAGTTCATAAGTTAACGAAGTTTTGCTGATACTGTGGCTTTAGATATATTAAATACAAGCACTAACCTCCCCTGCTGAAAGGGAGCTCTCACCAGGTGAGATTCAGTTTCAGACTCAGAAGCCTACATAACTTGTCTATGTGTGTAGATGATGTTCAAGCTCCCATTCAAGACAGTCAGTTCAGTGGAACCTCATGCTATGCAGATGACATGCAGTGACCCCGCATGTCTGGTTTAGGATGAGCTGAATTACTCCCTAGCCCCTATCAACACTATTGCCTACTTGTGATATCTATGTTTAGAATACTAATCTGTAGTCATACCTCATCTGTTTTCTTGAATTACCTCTGTACCTACAGCAAATCTGGTATGCCAACTCCAAGAATGATTGCTGTTCATAAAGATCTCTTTCAAAAGACATACATTCAAACAGTCTAGGATGATGTGGATAAAGTCATATTGCTATACATTTGGTTAACCTGAGTTAAAAAATTGATCCTCATGGGGAAAAAAGGGCACACTTTTGTATATTGGAGTGCCACTAGCACTGATCTCATGTTCTTACTATTGTACAGGACGTTGATAAATGAGGGTGAACTACTGAGGAGGGTGCAGCATCAAACTTCACCACGTACAGGAAAGGGTTCATTCCTCTAAAGAAGGCTCAGATACGTATTAAATCAGAGATTACATTTAAATCAAGGTCATGTACAGTCTTATGTCACTAGGATGAAATTCTTCCCTGTCTAAGGGTACATCAACATTGGAAACTGAAGCACAGATAACAGTGAGGGCTGACAATTTGAAGAGCAAATGATTAGCACAGTTCTGTTACTTCTACAGCAATCACATCTTTGAGGTATTTTACTTTGGGGTATCCTTATGAGTAGTAGATCATACTTGATAGATGAATCAGGGATGTACCAAACTCTTAATTCATTCCATGTTCTAGTTCATTACTAGTATTACTTCTCATCTGCAAGGGGCAATGAAGTCAAAAGTAGTACTAAAAATCCTGACCCGAGCTTCATATCCTAACCTCTTATGAAATGTTTTATGGTAAATAGTTTAACATTTCTGGTTTAGTTTCACTAAGCCTAAAAAGGCAAAATCTCAAGATGCTCATTGAAACATTTATGAATACTATTTGTACCTGACAGAAGCCTAAGTTATGAGGTAGTTGCATGGTACACTGGCTTCACGAGTGACACCTGCTTAAGAAGTTTCCATCCCCTTTGCCCTTTGGTCCCCAAGTACAATTCAGTTCGTCCCCAAACAATTCATGGGTTCATCCTGTAAAACCATTCACTGGAATAATCTTCCTGAAGGGAAAGGGGGTGGGGGCAGGGGGAAAAGTACAGGTGAAGCAGGAAGATTTAATCCTAACCCTTTCAGAGACAAAGTTTACAGCAGAACCCTACACACAGCAGTAGGGCAAAAAATAAGATGGCAGCAAATTACAAAAAATGAGGAGTGAACCAGAAGACTAAGGAAGGAATTAATTTTTCTTTTTTTTTTTTTTCTCCTAAGAGATGTACACAGTATTCATCCTTTTTGAAAATACAGTTTACAGATTTTTGAAACTGCAAACTTTAAGAAAAATCCTTGTGCATTGCAGCTCAGCTAACATAACAGCAGTACACCCAAAGGGCTGAATAAATGTTCAGCACATGTGCATAGTTGGCTAAACAATTTAATACATGGAAATAGAAAAGATGTGTACAACAAAGATGCAAATAACAATCTGAAAAGCTTTACGTTTTCTAAAATGTTCTGGAATTAAATACTGATTAACAATTCATATAATGAACACATCGCTGGAGGGAGCTGAAGTAAAAAAAAAATTGTGGCACTTACATAATAATGTAAAAATTTGTAATACTAATTCATGAAGCATTTCAGTTTCACACATAGTATCATACTGCAGACATCTAAGAAAATTTAATTTTAATGAGTAATTCTCAAATAGCAGACTCAAAATATGCTTTTGCTATTCACATAAGTAGCCTCATTAATTTCTCAAATGAGTTATGCAACTCGCAGACATTTACAGTAATAAGTAGTGCCTTTCTGGAGAGAATCCACGCAATCTAGCAGGCATTACTCAGGTAAAATTCCACTTAAATATTCCAGGAGTTTTAGCTACCTAAGATTTGCAATATTCAGTGCTATTTAAAAAGTCAGACTTTCACTTTCTTCCTATGGAATGAACTATTCCACTAAATACCGTAATAAAAACTGTATTACAGACTATATATTATTTATAATATATATATAGACATGGTAGGACAGTTTTCTGTAATACATACAGAATGGCACTTACTCTGTTTGTATTTCTGGATCGTGGTCACATGAATGACACATGGCACTGAATCGAGACACAAAGAAGTCGTAGCGTCTGTGATATGAAGGTGTGTCTTCCTCAATGTTGGCAAATTTGACAAACTGGAAATGAAATACATTTAAAAAGCTTTTGATACCAATTTCCCAAAAGAGAATAATGAATACAGGGCTTCATTTGAGAAGTAACGTAAAACATTGCATTAGGAAAGAATTCAGATTTGGCAATACTTAAATATTTAACTTCAGAGAAGAATAAGTTAAATTGGAGAGTTTCCTTTTTAAAGTCTTTCCACTAAAACTTCATTTAGATCTTTATGAAAGGGTGCAACTGCATGGAATACAACATATTATGCAATATGGCAACATCTAACACTTGAATAGTGTCATCACTTCATAGAATCATAGAATCTTTTAGGTTGGAAAAGAGCTTTAAGATCATCTAGTCCAGCTGTAAACCTAACACTGTCAAGTCCACCACTAAATCATGTCCCTAAGCGCCGTATTTACACGTCTTTTCAATACCTCCAGGGATGGTGACTCAACCACTTCCCTGGACAGCCTGTTCCAATGCTTGACACCCCTTTCAGTGAAGAAATTTTTCCTTATATCCAATCTATGATGCAACTTCAAGCCATTTCCTCTCGTCTCATTGCTTGTTACTTTAGAAAAGCCACCAACACCCACCTCGCTACAACATACTTTCAGGTAGTTGTCCAAGCAATCACATGGTACGCTGTCACTGGCAGGTTAACTAGCAACATCCTGAATTACAAAATTCAAAGGAAATAAACTTGAGGCATCCTGTCAATTCTGTCTATCTTTACAAAAGGGAAAAAGGAGGAGTCAGGGAATTTAACCCAGGCAACTTTAATCCCATTCACAGAAAGATACTCTGAAAGAAAAAAAATCCAATTTGCAAACATCTACAAAGTGATGAAGAAGTAAGTCAGTCAACATGGATATGTCAAGAACAAATCACATCAACCCAGCCTAAATTATTCCTATGACAGGGAAATAGATTTTGTGAATCCAGATGAAGCAGCATCTGTCACATCTTAACTTCAGTGATGCTGGTGTCAAAAAAAATACACAGAATTCTCAAAGAGAAGCTAGAGAAACACTGTCAAAAGAACATTCCCTGTAAGATAGATGCAAAAGGCTTTGGGAAAAAATACAGAAACACTTGTAAATCATCAAACTACAATAATGCATTGAGTGAATTCCTGAAGAGGCCTGTCTGGAATAGAGTAGTATTTGAGTTTCACTAGAGACTTAGATGACAGAGTGAGTTCATCAGATTTGCAAAGAACACTAAGCTGGCCAGAGCTGTAGGCACACTTGATGCCTAGTTCTTGACAAACTGGAAATAGGACCTGAAAAATCAAGGAAGCAATTTTACCATTTTAAGACAGCTAGAGAAACATGAGCAAGACACAGCTGAATGCAGAAAAGAAACTTAAGATCTGTAATAAGCTGCACATTTGACAAAAGTCAATACTGTTATACTGGCATGAAAAAGAAAACAATATATTGTGATACATCCATATTACCCATGACACCTATGAAGAAATTTTTGCCATCTAATTGGCATTAACAAGCCCTGAGATGAAGTACTGCAACCAGCTGAAGCATCATAGCTGAAGATGGTGATTAACTGATACAGTCCTTCAATTAGTCAAGGGATGAACAAAGCTTTAGAAAAACACCTGTTAAAAATGACTGAAAGACATTAGATTACCTAGTCTAGATACTAGTCTTATAATGTACAGAAAACAGCAATAAAATGAAAAGAAAGAAATGATTTTCTTTGTCCAATGGTAAAAGGAAAAGCAATAATGGGCTTACACTGAAGCACAGGCTACCTAAGTTAGACGTTAAAAAAAGGTCCTTTCTAAAGCCAGCAGACTGCCTAAAGACATTTTGGATTCTCCATCACTGACAGTTTTAAGAACAGACTGGAGAGGGAAGAGAAAAGGGAAAGAAAAGGTTGTCAGGAGAGGTTTAATGTAGTGCTGGTTCTGCCCTGAAGCAGAAAGATGTCCCATTAAGATCCCTCCACCTTTTCCCATGCCAGTATTCTTCGTACAAATTGCTAAGCACAGGCCGAGCCATTTCTTGTATGCCTACCCAAGATGCAGCACCCGCTTTTATCAGCACATTACCTACATACACCTAGACAAGCCCAAAGCACTTTAGCATCATCTACAGCGTAAAGATTTGTGGAGGTTTTGAGGTAGTTTTCAAGCTGAAAGTAAAAGCTGTCTATTTCAGAAAAAAAAAACAAAAAACCACAACCGTTTTTTCTTCTTTGTTTTTAGTCTTTTTTCTGTTTTATCTAAAACACTTACCTCTTTCAACTGCACTACCAGTTCACTCACCAAAAGCTACAGGTGCAGCTGAAAATGATACAGTTTGTAAAACTATATCCCAGCCATTACTGAAAACAGAGCAAAATTGTATAATACTAGTTCATTTTACATGTCCTTCTGTAGAGAGTATCCTATATAGTCAGGTAATAACAGAGTGACACACAGTCAAAAAACAATTTTGTACAGTGTACTGCCACAGTTCGAAAGAGAATCCACAAACAGCAACCATACTTTTTTTTCAATACAGTGAATTATAAAAATGATTATTTCCTTCCCAATAGACCCTGGAAAATGCTTTAAATGTCTTATGTCTCACTGGTTTGTTTCATGGAATTGTTAATTACAAAACAGAAATAGATTTTCTGAAGTTTTTTGAAGACAGGAACCTAATTAGTCCTTACAATTTAATAAAGAATAAAGTCCAGGGGAAAAAAAAAATCAGTACAATCTTAGTGTGATCTTAGTATTTTCCAGACATTCAAGTGTTCAAGTCTACAACTGACTGACCCAGCAAACTTCCATAAAAGCATGTAAAAGAATGGAAGCAAAAAGTTTAAAGAACACAAAACACTATGGGAGTGGCCATGAGAATATTAACTCACCTAGCATTTAATATTAGTGTATTAATATTATTTAAAATACAAAATGATTTTATTGAGAGGATCTTCCAACATGAAAACTTAATAAAACTCTAATAGCTGTTTCGCTAGAAGAAAGATTTATTGTACCAAGAAATTGCTCTATAAGAATAAATGACGAATTTAGGCTGAGAAAGTATCAGGGGCTCGTTCTCTCACTCTGGACATTTCTCTTACATCATGATGTAGCTTTGCGCAGGGAAGCAAGTACCCAGAAGTTATACCTCTCAAAATGGCACGCACAGTAATATGTCCAGAAACGGTAAAATCTTTTTATTTCCTCATGTGTGTAACAAAACAATTTCCCCCACTGAACATAAAGCATTTCTGAAGCATATTCCAGCATTAGCATTCAGATGACTGAACATTTAGGCCACAGGAAAGGTAACTATGATAACACTGTTTTGAGTTGCACTGTCATTCAGTAAAGTATACAATTCCATTTCATTATAGAAATTGTAAGTTTTTACAGTACACTTATACTTTCTCCTTGCTTAGCAGTGATCTTAAGCTGTTATTCTTGTTAAGTAAAGAATAGTTTACTCCTAAGCACCTAAGATATTTTCAAGCATACTTCAAATATAAAAATTATTCAACCTAAAATAGGACAAAACTCTTACGAAAGTCCAAGCACTTGCCTGAGATATAGTTACAAAGCTTTTACAGATGTAAACATGTCATTCAGTCATAGTAAATGCTTGCAGTCACCCACTGGTAATATATGGAAGTTTCACCAGTACAAGCATCTTCTATATTTGTACAATATAGAGGGTACAAAAAGGAACTTATGGTGGCAATACCTTATTTCCATTGATTTTGAAACCAATAAAATTGAATCAGTATAAAAACACACAATTCTATCACAAAATAAAGAAGGAACATAATACCTATTCAGAAGATGTTTGTTCCAGATTGAGTCAAGAAAGTTGGATCCTATTACCAGGGAGAGAGAGACCGTGCGAGTCCTCTAAGTAAATCATGCAAGTTCTCAACTTAAATTCCTAAGGACATAATTTCACACACATATATTTATACTGTCTTGTCACATCCTAACCTTTAATTCACCCTAGATTTCTTTAAAGGTCAGGTTTGTGCAGCAACTCAAGAACAGACAAGCAGCATGCATCGCATTTAAATTGAAGTTATGTTATTTAAAGTATCACCTTGTAAAAAGTGTAGGCTGGATCTGAGCAGTATTTTTTTTTTTAATATTTGAGCTCCGCAGCCTGTCTCCTACAGCCTGCAATTTCCTCATGTTTCACATGGGGGAGAAGGGTTGCCGATGCTGATAGTTAACATCTTTTATAGACAAAGCTACTATATTTCATTGTTAGGAAACTATCAGATACATAGGAAGACATGGTATCTTATAAACATAAGACTTTCATAAACTACACAATACAGTGTTAATGAGAAGCGTGTGAATGTATGTATGTACTTCACCAAACAAATGCAGAAAGGACAAATACTTCAACTTTCCTAAATAGAAAAGTTTCAAACACATTTCATATATTAACTTCACACATAGTATTAAAATGATCACAATAAATAATAACAAGATAAGTTTCCAGCAATAGAAAGTGGTGATTCAGATTAGTTATTAATAGTTAAGGTCACCTGACACTATGCAGGTTGGCTTACTGGGCCACATTAGCGTGGCTACAAAACTGCAGGACCAGAGAGCGCGAGCATGAGGTGGGGGAAGCAATATTTAACCGTGAATAACCCCAAAAGTTCTGCCTAAAGCGACTTATCCAGCATCGCTCAAATTCTAGTAGACGCAGACATAGAATTTAGAAGGTAATAATCTATAGGATGAGAAACAGTGCTTTATGTAGTTCTGTCTCTCTGTACCTTTAACTCCTATAAAAAAAGACAGAGCAGGGATCCTAGAGATGAGATACTTCTTTGAATATTAAATCACTACTAGCACATAGTTCTGTATTGGTACATGGAATAAAAGAAGCATCTTTTAACAAAGTTAAATTTCCATCACATACTTCCAGATAAGCATGCTGCAGACAAGCAAGACAAACAAGTACTCTACCTGACATACTTTAATTTCAGAGTCTTGACATTTTATACTATTTTTACATATACATACACTTAAATTCTGCCAAAACCAACTGCTTTTATAAGCCAACACCAACAGATACAAAAATCTTCTTGTTATATCAGGCACAAACGATGACAACTAGCAATAGCAGTCACCTTCTCATGCCCAGGAAGCCCAACACTGTCACTGATAGTATCGTTATTTCACTGCTCCTAAGAAGAAATTGCCTTTCTAAAATGAAGCACCCTATCAACTAAAGAAAGCATGTGTGGTAAATAATGTCAAATGTAGTAGTACTGGGTTCTACATGTATCTGCTATTTTTCAGATGAAAAAACAATGTTTTACTATCAAAATACAAAGAATAATTCATCCCATCAAATTAGCTTAAAATGTGTTGTATTCAACTGAGTTTTATCAACATAGTTTAAGATGGATGTTTTACTAAATTACACACCCCGTTGGTTTTGACCAGCTACTCACTAAAGGAATTTTCTGGACCCTCTCTAATAAAAATTGTCAGGAAATTAAAAAAAAATTTTTAAATGATCTCTTGTCCCAAAAAATTTTGACCGCAAAGATTTTAAAGCTGTTCACCCCTAGATAGACAGAACGAGTAATCCTAGTAATATAAACACTGTGGGTCTAAGCAATACATTTAATTATTTGTACATGAAGGACAGAGATGTTTTAAATGATACTCGGTTACTGACACGCTGCAAAATGGTTTGAGAAAGAAATGTAGTATTGCTGTAAGTTTCTAAGTAAAAGCTTATCGCAGTCAGCCTCCAGATTCTGTAGTACTTAAGCCAAAGTAATCTCACTTTTCCCCACCACATTTTTTCAGTTTCTTCACCAGCATATGCTATCCTAGCACGTGGTTAATAAAAATATCTTCTTCCATGATAGAAAAAGACATTTTGAACTTCATAGACACTGCCAATTTGAAATCTGTTCTTAAAAAAAATTCAACATATCCCTATCGAACCTCACCTGTTTTCAAATATCTGCCCATATAAGTAGATTTACAGTTATATTATAAAAAAAAAAATCATTGCTGCTGTAGAAAATAAGCTAACATAATTTACAAGTGCAACATATAAAAAGTTATAGGAATTAATTATATGTAATCTGAAGATCAGGCATAAAAGTACATAAATGAAAACCAAACAATTGTTCTTCTAAAACAGTAAACTTCAGGTTTGCTTTTTAGAAGTAAATCAACTTAAAAAATGAAATCTAACTTCAAAAAATAATGTAAGAAGTTAAACAGCTGAATGAAACTTCTCATTTTTTTTCTAAGATAGAGCATCCAAAATTGGGTTTTTGGAAGTCAGGGAACAAATCTTAGAAGACAGTGGGAGCTTCCAGATGTTTCCAGGACTTTAAACTACTCAGAGTCATTCAGTACGCAGATTTGTTCCATTTCAAACCCTGACTTCTAAGCAATCACAAGAGTCCCCACAGCTGAAGCAAAATCTGCTTGTAAGGCTAGGAAAAAACTACAATTCAAGACAGACAGTTGAATCTTACCTGAAAGACATCATTGCCTTTGTATCCCAGGGAAGCTTTTAAAGTCAGCTTTGTGATGGAAAATAATCAAGATCTACTTATAGCCACAATCATACTCCGTATCTTTTTAAGTGTAAGCAGACTATACATTTGTATTGGCCTGAAGTTGAGTTTAACCTAAAAATATTATGGAACCTTTTCCAAAGTTTGCCTGACTTTTCACCAGTTTAAAGACATTTACTTCATATGCAATTTATTCTTCTCTTCCAGAGAATACCAGTTTCCACTCCAAAGTGGTACATTAGAATAACTAAAGCACATGAAAAATTATTCAGTCACTCTACCATCTCTACTATTTTTGGTGGGGGTTTTTTGTTTATTTATTTATTTGCTTTGGGAGGATAGCAAAAACTAAAAAAGGCTAAACGTAATGGTAAACTTTCTCCATGTCTGACAAAATTTATTTAAGAACACAGTAGGTCAGTGACCTTGATAACAGACAAGCTGCCAGTGCCAATACATTTTGACCCTCTTGAGTCAACACAAGATGACTCTATCTATAATTTTCTCTCCACTGCCTTTAGAAGGCACCTAGGGAAATTAACATAATTAGGCTAATATTAGCCTTTGGAATACTGTTGAAGAGCCATATAGATTCCCTCTACTTGCAGAATTTGACATCTTATTTAGGAAAATGTAATTTTTTTTTTTTTTTACTGAATTTTACAACAGACAAACACAAATTATCTCCTAATTTAGGAAGTCCATTAATCTGCTTTGCTCATAAAAGACTTCATTAGGAACTAACAGGGATATCAAACGGATTACCATAAGGTGGAGTTCTCTTCAGTAACATTCATTTGGAAGTGACGTGTGTCTTGTAAAAATCAATGTGGAAGGTGGCAGTAACTGTTTGCCACCAAGGATTTTAAACAACTGGAAAGCAATGTACATCTTGCCATCTGGCATCCCAGGAAATGAGTTCCAAAGCTATTTCCCCAAGAGGTCTTGCCCAGGCATTATCAGACAAACAAATCAAAAGAAGCTGGTAGTCCGGATCAAAGATATTTAAATAAATAAATAAATAAATAAATAAATAAATAAATAATCACCCTCAGTAAAGCCACCGTTAGTTTGGGGCATGAGGGGACACTCCTCCCCTAAAACAGAGCAAGAACTCTGCATTCCACCATAATAAGAAATTCTACTCCAGAGTAGCATCACTCTACTACACCCTCCTGTTTCCCTGAACTACAACTCCATTTAATTCCATCAACTGGGAATCATGCCCAAAGGAAAGCTCAGAAGTTTTACAGAATCAACAAAGAACCTCCACACTGCTAACAATGGCAATGTACATGAAATGCAAGCGTTACTTTACTCATGTAAAAGCGGTTACTCTAAGTGAAAATAGTATACATCACAATCCTGCAATGAGATCCCTATTGTACTATCTGGGAAATACAATGGCTGGAAGGGAAGTACAACAGAACCATAACACTGATTGCACCCATCCCTATTTGGAATTGGGTCTCCAAATCTTCATTTTGACACATTCAGTTATGCCCTTCAAGCCTGGATCTGAATCCTGAAAAACTTAAGCTAGTAAGATGGTGAGGTTGGAATACAGAAGGCGTTTGCCTCCTGGCTACTTTTCAGCTAACAGGAATCCTTCTGTGTAGGGTCAGTGCTGTGGAGAAGGATGTTATTTCCTCCTTCTCACACCATCACTCTCATTGCTGGAGAGCAAGAAAACACTGTCTTACATATACAATGACTCCAGGAGGTCTGTTTAAAGATTCAAATCTGAACTCACAGAACGGCTGTCTTGTTCCTTCCAAAAGAAGTTATTTCTGCAGAGGATAAGCCCAGACATCAAAAGAAATTTAGACTGAAACGAAACAGGTTTTCTGCCTCCAGCTGGTATCTGCTCTGTGTTTAGGCCCTGCCACATACAGAATTTCTCAATTCATGTTAACTGGCAGATATTTTGTGACTTCTGAAACTACTTTCTCATAGCAAATAAGCAGAGATTAATGCTGATTTGATTTAGTATCTTTACTCACAGAATTAGTTCCAAGAACTTGCAGCTTTGGTTCACCTGATTCCAGAAGCTTGGCCACCATGTGAAGGAAACTTTCCACAAATGGTTTAATGCTTTGAGAATGGCAAGCCATTAGAAGTTGATCCAATGCCTCCATGGCAATTAAAACATACCTGAAAATTAATTAGAGAGACTCACATAAAGATGTGCTACATTTATCATTACCTGAATTAGTTCAATTTAGGTCCTTATTAATACAAAAATTAGAAAAGAAAGAACGGAAGGCATATATTTCCCATTGTCTGAAAATGGAAGTTACTGGTATTTCCTACATTCTTTTTTTGGGGGTGGGGTGGGCAGGGAGGGTGGCAAAGGGGCAATTGGGTGTTTTTAGAAGGAATGTCATAATACTTGGTAACAGAGTAAATATAGTTCAGGTTTCTTTCCTAACACATTTTATTTTCAATTATAAATCCCAGCTTTCTAGTCTACACATCCTCTGTCTATCCAAATCCCAGTATGGAAAGCCAGCAACTTATCCATGCTCCTGCACAGACACACACTAAGTAAGTGAAAAAGAGTAAAGAAAAGCAGTGAACAAAATTAATTACCCTAAAGAATGGCTATTTAGCCATTTTTTTAAGTTATAAAAATGGCTTTTGATATCATGAAGGCCAAAAATGATGGTCTTGAGATGGGTGTTGCCTTTTTTTCCCAACTCCTGCCACTTCTTAGGCTCAGTATTTTCATACTCCATTTCCACATTCTTTAAAATCTTCTCCTTCTTTGGACTCCATGTTCTTTGAAATTCCTAGCTCAAACAGAACTTAGAATATGACAGAGTTTTAAAGTTCCCATTTAAATACAATTTAGCCAAAAGGGCTGAAAAGAAAGATATCTCCACTTCCCAATACCCTGAATGACATTCAAGGGTGTATTGGGTTTACATGGCAAGGTTTTCGCAGCACGGGGGCCGCAGGGGTGGCTTCTGTGAGGAGACAATAGCAGCTGCCCCCATGTCAGAGCTTGCTCCAGCCAGCTCCAAGACGGACCCACCACTTCCCAAAGCTGAGCCCCTTATCAACACTGGTAGCACCCATGGAGGACTACAGGGCAGCAGATATCCACAGTGCAGACCACAGAGGGCCCACACTGGAGCAGGTGGATATGCCCTTAAGGAAGCTGCAGCCCATGGAAAGGCCTCACTGGAGCAGGCTCCTGCCAGGAGCCGCGGTCCTGTGGAGAGGAGCCCACGCAGGCGCAGCTTTTCTGGCAAGACCTGTGAAAGGTACCTATGGGGTACCCACACTGGAGCAGTCTGTTCCTGAAGGACTGCACCCCATGGAAAGGACCCATGCTGGTGCAGCTCTGGAAGGACTGTCTCCCATGGGAGGGACCCAGCACTGGAGCAAAGGAAGAGCACAAGGAGGAAGCAGCGCCAGAGCCAAGATGTTATGAGCTGACCACAACCCCCATTTCCATCCTCATGCACTGCTCGTGGGGGAGGAGGTAGAGGAGTCAGGAGTGAAGTTAAGCCTCGGAAGAAGTGGGGTTGAAGGGAAGGTGGTTTTATCTTTGTTTTTATTTCTTACTACCCTATGCTGTTATCAACTGGCAATAAATTAAATTCAGCTTCCCCAAGTCGAGTCTTTTTTGCCCATGATGGTAATTGCTGCGTGATCTCCTTGTCCTTATCTCAACCCATGCGCTTTTCATCTTATTTTCTCCCCTGTCAGGCTGAGGAGGAGTGAGAGAGTGGCTGGGTGGGCACCTGCAGCCAGACAAGGTTAACTCACTACAAAGAGACTTGGGTCTGTTTTGCTTCCTAAACTTGATCAGAACGAACATGATGAAATGCAGCTACAGTTAGCATCTAGCTTTAACGTTATGACTTATTTCCTTACCCATAGCGATGTCTGACAACATCTCTGCTCAGTCTCTCTGCTAGATAAGCACCAATTCGATCCAGCTTTTCTGGTGCAGAAACTGCATAGAAAGTCAGCTTCTCCATATCAGCTTTAACAAGACCATCCTAAAAAAAGATATACAGAATATAAAATACAAAAGTTCACAGAAAGTGTAAATTTTTTTAATTGTTTTTCCTTCTGTCTACTCAACATTTAAAGATCTGAGCCATACAGATGGGAATAAGCTATGGAAAAAAAGCAACTTTTGAGCAAAATTGTGAATAGCTTGCCTGCAAAAGTCAGCAACATAAAAAATTAAGGAAAATATTTTTTTAAAGAAATGAAGCAACTATCTTCCCTCATCTTTTTTTATGGGGAACAGGTATTCCAAAAGATGGTATTTCGTGAGATCTGTCATCAGTTCTAAGACACGCTTTTTCCCTACTGGTACAATATAATTTCTTTCTTTTCCCACTCCCCCCAAAAAAGTATATTTGATGCATAATTTTGATGCTATATAGAAAAAAAGACTGTAGTTTATACTTTTATTTCTTCAGTGTCACATCTTGGACAAGGCTAACATATAGGGACCCTGAAGATGCATTGTTAGAACAAGACCAAAAATTAACATAGTAGTTCCAACGTGAATTGTGATATGGATCTCCTCAGGTGAGGTTATAACTGTAACTATCAGGTAAAAAGAATAAAGCTTTTTGTCCTTTATTTTTTTCCTAGAAGTTCACAAAAACATTACCTTTTTCAAATAAATTACTTTAAATCTTTTAACACACTCATCATTAATTTATGCATTTTATCAAGCAAGTTTTCTCATATTTTAGAAAAGGTCTGTAACTCAGTGAAACATCATGGACTTGCTTGTGTGTTGCACTGAGCCAATGAATATTAACAAAAGCAGAGACTAAGGAGTGCCACCTCAGAGCTACAGAGCGAGATTAAAGCTGTAAGACTACAACTGTAGCAATTCCAGGTGTTTCCACATCTGTATCAAACCATTAGATTAAAACAAATAAATCTACAAAACCATATTGTTCCATGCTTTCAACATACTGTATACATAAGAATCATTTTCTTTGAAGCCAGTAACATACGCTTATATAGTAACTAGCACTCAGTAACAATATACGTTAAAGAAAAGCCCACGTACTTTATAAATGTTATACAAATGCTGACTATTCTGCTTACTTCTACTACAATAAAAGATTATAAAATCTGGTAACACATTTAAAAAAAATACAGCAGCAGAAATACAAGCTCTCAATTAGTCTGAAACATCACATGATTATGTACAGATATAGGCATTACTGAATGATAACATAGAAGTTACTTATTTTCACAGAGAGTAAAACCTGGGCTGTAATATAGCTCCAAGATTGTTCAAGTGAAATGAAAATGCTGTATACAAATAACTGGAGAAATTAAAAACAACAAAAATAAAACACCTCTTTGGATCACAACAGTCTACCAGAGCTATAAAAACTTACACAGTCAGTATGTCAAGAGTTAGAAAATTAAAATCTTGTACAAAACCAGAAAATGTTCACACCTGCAAACACAGCAAAACAAGTGTTTGTGGTTCAAAGCAGTTTAGTGCTACCTCTGCTGCAGAACAGTCTGTTAAATTAAATCTCTGTTTCTCTAAACGTAACATACTAATTTTACTCTTCAATATGCACAGCCCTGCCTTGAAAAGGGAATTAGACAAGATGATCTGTAGAGATCCCTTTGCAGCTAAATTATTATGCTAAACTCTATTAAAGCTATGAAGCGTTAAAGCAGAATTTACAGTAAAATGTGAAAATACACAAGAAAAAATAAAATTAAAAACCGCACATATTTTCAATTGTCAATCCCTTAAAATTTTAAAGTCATGACTCACTTTTGGATCTTCAGGAAATATGTTATCTACCAGACGCTTGTAGCGAGGTCGCAAAGCAGCACAGCAACAGCACACTCCTGCAGAGAGATTTACCCAACAGAATTTAGAATTGAGTTTTAGGAGCTCCAATATTTTCAATGTAAGTGAGTAGCTGACAGGCAAGGAGGAAAAAAACACAGTGGATTTAGCTGCTTATTACTATCAGCAATAAAGTAAAATTAAGGTAAGTAAAAATTAGAAGAAGTCAAATAAGCAAAACTACTATTATAATGTAATACTTAAGAAAATATACAAGCAGGTTGAGTATTAGAATGCACCTATCATCCAGACACACATTAAAACATAAAGAAAAATCAAGACATTCCAAAATTTAGTAGCATTTAAAACAAGGCTACTTAATTTGCGGTTTTATCTTCATTCTGAATGAACATTTCAAAACATAACCAAACATGCATTCCTCTACATAAAGTCAACTATGAAACCTTCTGTTTTACAGGCAACCATATAAAGCAATATAAAGCACAACACAGAGAACAAGCTCTCCCATCATTATCCCACTATTTTACTGGGCATCGGACAAAAGACAGTCACTTGAAGTGACAGAAGGTATTTTTCTGATCTCGTTTCTACTCTACTACTAGTACAGTACTCATATAAAGGTAATCAGAACAGTACATGTAACTTGCAATTTTATTAATTTAAAGAGAGTCATACTGCCTGCTCTAACAAGATAGAAACCTACAAAGCCTGGTTTGTTTTTTCTAGCATTCAGGACTACTAGAACTTTGGAATACCTCCAGTTTACCTGAAGTAAAAACACAGCACACAAAAAACTGAAAAAATATTTCTAGATCATAGAATCATTGAATAGTTTGGCTTGGAAGGGACCTTTAAAGGTCATCTATTTCAACAAACCCGCAGTAAGCATGGACATCTTCAACTTGATCAAGTTGCTCAAAGCCCCGTCCAACCTCACCTTGAATGCTTCCATTCAGAGAAATGCCCCAGGGATGGGGCATCTACCATCTCTCTGGGCAACCTGGGCCAGTGTTTCACCACCCTCATTGTGAAAAATTTCTTCCTTATATCTAGTCTAAATCTGCCCTCTTTCAGTTTAAAACCATGACCCCTTGTCCTATTGCAACAGGCCCTGCTAAAAAGTCTCTCCCCATCTTTCTGAGAAGACCCCTTTAAGTACTGGAAGGCTGCAATAAGGTCTCCCCAGAGCCTTCTCTTCTCCAGGCTGAACAACCCCAACTCTCTCAGCCTGCCCTCACAGCAGAGCTGTTCCACCTCTCTGAGCTTGTTGGTGGCCTCCTCTGGACCCATTCCAACAGGTCCATGTCTTTCCTGTGCTGAGGGCTCCAGAACTGGATGCAGGACTCCAGGTGGGGTCTCACCAGAGTAGAGTAGAGGGGTAGAATCCCCTCCCTCGCCCTGCTGGCCACGCTGCTTTGGATGCAGCCCAGGACACGGCTGGCCTTTTGGGCTGTGAGCACCCATTGCTGGCTCATGTCCAGCTTTTCATCCACCAGTACCCCCAAGTCCTTCTCGGCAGGGCTGCTCTCAGTCCCTTCATCCCTCAGCCTGTACTGAAGGTTGCCCTGACCCAGGAGCAGGACCCTGCACTTGGTCTTGTTGAACCTCATGAGGTTCACATGCGGCCCTTGCTCCTGCTTGTCCAGGTCCCTCTGGATGGCATGCCCTCCCTCAGGCATGTCAACCGCACCACTCAGCTTGGTGTCATCTGACACTTGCTGAGGGTGCACTCGATCCCACTGGCTATGTTATTGATGAAGATATTAAAGAGTACTGGTCCCAGTATGGACCCCACTCATCACCAATCTCTATCTGGACATTGAGCCGTAGACCACTACCCTCTGGATGTGACCGTCCAACAGTGCACTCATCAAATCCATCTCTCTCCTATTTAGAGAGAAGGATGTTGTGGGGGACCATGTCAAAGGCCTTACAGAATTCCAGATAGATGACATCCGTAGCTCTTCCCTTGTCCACTGATGTGGTCACACCATCACAGAAGGCCACTAGGTTGGTCTGGCAGGACTTGCCCTTGGTGAAGCCAAGATAAGATATCTGATATATATCTGTCCAGCTGTCTTATCAGTGAAGATTCATTCCCAAGGAATTTTAATATTTTGACAAACCATGTTTTAAATGTTTCAGTGGACATATGATCAGACTAACTCCCTGGTCTGGCCTTACATTAACATTAAAGCAGTTCTCCATCTGGCTCAACACTCTGTATTTGTGTCTTCCTACTTGATTTTCTACCTCATGGACCACTAATATTGGTCCAGAGTAAACAATATGATTTGATTACTACCAAGTATAACAGAATATTCTTATAATAACTGTAGTAAAATATTTTGCAACACCTAAAACGTAAGAAGAACAGAAAATATTTTAAAATATTGCATGTAAGACAGAGGGAGTTAAAAATACTTTCAGAGTTAGTTTCTCCCTCTTTCGGTGACAGGAGAAGAAAATCCTTACAAAGAACCACAATTTAAATCCTCAGACAGTGTTTTAGAACCATGGTAATAACATAAATTTAACATAAAACCTGGATACAGTTACTCCTTTGAGAAGGATAAAAAATATCAGATAACAGTACCAGCTCATTCAGACAGCCTTACCAGACGGTTTCAGTTAATGGAAACTCAGTAGTGTTCAAACACTGCTCTTCAAATTTATGGCACACAGTGAATTTTGACATTAAAAAAAGGCCTAACAATATATTACAGAAGACATATTACAGTATATTACAGAAGATTTGAAAATCTCTTCTCTAGATCCTGGATTTTCAGTAGTATATTTACATTGCTATATATTTAATTATATCACAGTTTACATGAGGGAAAAAAAAAACCTACCTCATCAAACAATTCTCTACCATCAAAATATAAGCTAAAACTGGTATGAATCTTAATGCCATTAAACGAGTTTTCTAAATTAAACAGAAAATTCAAGTATTAGAAAGCTAGAGTTAATCTATCAAAGCTTTCAGCCTCTAAAGATATTTTGAGTAATGAAATTTAAGCAGAACACTCTCAGAAAAAAAACTGACAGGCTTGCCAAAGAACACAGAAAAAAAGAAAACCAAAGCAAAAAGCAAAACAATTAACAGTCATGAGACACACTTTGTGGGAAAATTATTTATCATTGCTCCGTGTTTTGGTATAACCAGGGAAGATTAACAAAAACATAGGAATAGATGCAAGAAGATATGTATGAATGTAAAACAACACACTATAATCAAGACTTAACATATATTAAAAATAGATTGAACTTTTAAAAAAATCACACAAAATCTAGGAACATTTCACTATGTAGACGAGAAAAGATGAATGTTTTAAAAGATGGAGAGAAGCTGAGCAATTCAAAATTTATTCTCTAATTCTTCGATACAAATTCAGCCCAGATAAAAGTTCATCCAAATAAACAGATTAGTTTCACACAAATAAGCTGTTTTGTAGGTCTACAGAAACAGTCACTAAGCTCGGTAAAAAGAACCTGTTCCATTTTTATGCAGGTTTATCACCGAAAATTCCTATGACGATTCCTTTTCTATGTCAGGCAAAATTTGCATTTTAATGGTCTCCCTCTTGAAGACATCTTTATGTTATTTTATACAAGTAAATACGAAGGTTAAAGTGGTATCTACAGAGAAGTTCATACTGTTACACAATAGTCAACACAAAAGGTTTAAACAATACTTATTATGTACTTCTCCAGTAGTGGGATTTTCCAGGTTTAAACATGCATGTTCTCTTCTGCTAAAGGAATCTTGTAATCTGCATTTTACATGTTAAGACTGTACATACTTCTCAGCTGTACAGGTACTTCTTTTTACACACATTTATTCTACACAATAGCAGTAAGAAGAAACAGTCCACGTTATCAGAAAATGGTAATTTCACCTACCCAAACACATACATGGTCTTGGTTCAAAAGCAGAATTATAACCATAGGCTTTTTCTTGCTCAACAGTTGGAACTTGAACATACTGCCTCATCCTGGATACGACTTCACTCCACGAGTATTCTCTCCTGTATCAGAAATTTGCGCTCTCACACTAGCATAGAAGCAGTTACTTCACGCAAGGGCTCTGCACTACTGTAAGCTTATCTGATTAGCTCTGTGACATCTACGTAAAGCCACTAAACGCGTAAAAAACTTCAGTATCAAATTCTGTTAACAAGGCCAGGCACAAGAACAGAGAAAAGAATAAAAAATACATCATCAATGTGCGATTCACAGCTCATCAAATTAAACTGCACAGAGCCCGTTTCATTACTTCAACTTCCCCAGAACATGCAGTTCATTATTTCTGTGACTAGAAGCAAAAAATTAGTATAGTTTCTGACAAAACTGTGTTCAGTCAGCTGCTACATACCACTGTAGAGTGATAAGTATTTTAGCAAAACTTACTCACTTGATCCTGCTGACTAATGGCCAAAAAAAAAAAAATTTA